CTTCGGTCTCTCTCTCTCTCCCTTCCTCGCTATGGGAATCTGGCAGCATTTGTCCTACAGGCTCTGCTCCAGCTAAGAGGAATCGTTTCAGGTACAATCCGGAGCTGTAAGCTGCAGATGGTGCCAGGAAACAGTAAGGTTTAGCAATGTTGCTAAATGGGTTTTAGTGTCACAGTTGGGTCAGGAGATATAAATGAACTTTTTTCATCAAAGCCAGACCAAAACGAAATCCTTTTTTAACTTTGGATGAACTGAGACAGTATGAGGAGGAGCAGACAGGCCACTCGTAGAAAAACTGCGAAATTGTAACTCTTAGTAAGTGTTGCATTTCAGTTTAAGAGGCAAATCTTTTGGGGCAATATTAATTGTCCGAAGTTGCACCACCCTGACGTTGTTATTATAAAGAACATTTGCCATTTTTGAGATTTTAAACTCAATCTACAGAGTGTTAAAGTAACACTGAAGCAGAGTTGCCACTGTTGAGGATTATGTTTACGTTTTAATGTCTAAAAGCCTGAGCAGAAGTTCTTCATCTTCAACATTGTTAACAGCGGGTTTTCTTTACTAATGCTCACTCATCAATTAATTAGTTGCTTAATTATTCCATTAACTTTAACTCGGCTTCAGTGTTACTTTAACACTCTGTCGATTGGGACAATATGTACTCTGAGCAGAGTTGATTTAACTCGGGGGATTTTGCTGTGTGTATATATATATATATATACTGTATATATATATACAGTATATATATATATATACAGTATATATATACTCAATTCTGATTGGCTGGTAGGTATACGTTAAAACCGTTTAATGCACAGGTAGTTCAAGTCAGTTTAATCACCGTTCTATATTAATGCACTGCTTTAATTGATGCACACAAGCACACACACAGAGCGAGAGAGAGGTCGGAGATCGTAGATTGTGCTGCACACACACAGAAACTTGTTGTCAATGCTGCCGCGTGAATTTATTCATAAAATAGCCTATATTTTTTACATTTACATTTATATTTATTCATTTGGCAGATGCCTTTCTCCAAAGCAACTTACAGTTGAGGAAAACAACAAGTGGTTCATCATAAGATGGCAATAAACACGAGAAGTGCCTGTTATACAAGTTTTTAGTCATTTAGATACTATTGTTGTCAGATTTGATTGCTGATTTGAAATTGTATAAAGAAAATGCAGAGTGTATGAGCATGTGGAGGCAGTTTGAACTCCATATTAAAGCCTGTGTCCATGTATACACATGTAGTCACGCTTTAGGTATGCTATTTATCAAACAACCTCATTGTGTAAGTATAGAGTCCAGTAGGGCTCATCCTTCTTTCAACGATCTGGAATGAAAAGAGTGTGTCGATCTCAAGTCAAGCAGCATTTTGATCCTTAAATGCCCCATCTATCTATCAATCTATCTATCTATCTATCTATCTATCTATCTATCTATCTATCTATCTATCTATCTATCTATCTATCTATCTATATATCCATCTATTCATCCATCCATCCAAAATAGCAAGCCAGGCATTTTTCATAGAGTGCATGTATGATTGCAGATTTGCCTGAATACAGTGGAGCCAGAAATTTTTCTTCAGCTGAACTACGGCTCAGAAAGTCACATTGACCTTCACCTCTTGTTGCTTGTGTCTTTATCAGAGCTCTCGGTTTTATTTCTTCCTCCAGTCTTTTCTGTCAAATGGAAGCTCCGTGATTTTAGTGGCCTCCTATGGAGTTCCCTGAGCTCTTGTTATGACCCGCTTTATGTGTCCTTCAACAAATGGAAGTCATGTTACACTTGGGTGGTTCAGCCTGCTCAGATGTTTTCCCCACTGCACTGCCACACAGGCTGAGATTTCAGGCTTCAAGACAATATTTAAACTGCTCTATGTGTGCGTGCGAAGCTGTTTGTTATGACTTCTGCCTGTCCATGGAGTCTCTCAGCTTAAACATATGCTACCTTCCACTCTTCAGAAGTTCTGACTTTTAAAGTTTGGAAATCATAATTATGGATCAAATGGATGCATGGGTAATGTCACTTGACCAAGATAGAAAGCAGTGTTTGTGCTAGTGAAATGAAACGAAGAGCAAAAATGCTACGTATTTTATTATATCTGTCACCCCATAAAGTTAATTAAGTAATACTGTTTTCCATTAACAGCTTATAAAATGTATAGAAACGAAGCTTTTCAGTCAACATTCACAATTATAACTTAAAATCAGAACCAATATGTCCTTCCATAAGCTCCACTTCCTTGTTTACTGTTGTTAAATCAGTCAAGGTTTAAAGAACAACCCAGAGGAATGAACTGTAGATTTCAATGTGATTTTCAGTCAAATATGCTCATAAATTTGTAAAAAAAAATAATAAAAAAAAGTGATTGAATGGTTTTGTTACATGCGGCTGGAATGATATTGCAAATCCTATCTGCCATATCTCATTAAAGAATCTTTTCAGTTACAACTGCACATCACAATTTTGAGTAATAAGATTAGTTTATGTGAACAGAACTGTTCCTAATTTTTCTATAACACGTTCTATTTGAAACTATTAATTATTAATTAATTAAAACTATTAATTAATTACTATCCACATATTTCAATGACCATTTGTGATTATTAATACTTAAATGAAGTGACATTCATTTTAATAGCATTAACAGCAAATGTCTACATTGGGGTTTTCATCATGTCATCATATGCATTCAATTGCAAAATGTAAATGTGTTTAGTGTAAAACTATACAAACACTCAAGCTTGTCTGGGAAAATGATGATCAACAGTTAAAGGGGTCATATGATGCGATTTCAATTTTTCCTTTCTCTTTGGACTGTTACAAGCTCTTAGTGCATAAAGAAGATCTGTAAAGTTGCAAAGACTAAAGTCTCAAATCCAAAGAAATATTCTTTATAAAAGTTAAGAGTCAGCCACGCCTACCTAAAACGGCTCCTCCTAACACGCCCCCACATGTCTACGTCACTGTGTGAAGATTTGCATAACGCCGCCCAAATGTTTACGCAAAGAAAGAAGGCGTAACTTTTATTCTCGCTGTAGTATTGTTGCCGCCGCCGCCATGTCGTGAAGGCGCTGTGTGATTCGTTGTGAAAGCGAAACTACTTTGTTTGGCCTTCCAAAAGAGGACGATATCCGCTTCGTCATGCCTGGAGCTGATCCGTGCTGGTCGCTGAGGAAATACTTCAACTTCGCGCTGTCGATTGCCGGATCGGCTTTCACCGTGGACGAAGCAGAGTCCAGCCCGGGGTCGTCACATGTTGTTGCTGCAGGCATCACAATATGGTAAGGAACGTACTATTTCCGTCACATGCTTGAGGAATTCGGCCAATCACAACGCACTGGATAGCTGGCCAATCAGAGCACACCTCGCTTTTTCAGACCGATGAGCTTTGTAAAAATCTACGCGTTTCAGAAAGGCGGGGCATAGAGGAGAAACAATAATGTACAGTATGTGGAAAATAATGTGTTTTTTGAACCTTAAACCGCATAAACACATTTCATTACACCAAATACACAAAAGAATGTTCTTTTTAGCAGCATCATATGACCGCTTTAAAGTAGGATTGCTTGGTAATGCTTGCTTCCACCATCATTATTTAGTTCCAGAACACTTATGTTGTAATTTCATGCAACTTGAACGCATTAACCTATAAATGTGGTTTTATGTTGGTGTGTTTGTGTGAAGTCTCAAAGTGTAACAGTTCAGTTGTTTATTTGAGAACGGTTCACCTGTTACAGCTTATATCATCCAGGGAGCATGCGAGTTAGTGTGTTAGTGTGTGTGTGTGTGTGTGTGTGTGTGTGTATGATACAATAACTCTTTGCAGCAGAGATGTGATTCAGACAGCTCCAGATGGATCTCATTGACACTCTTCTCTTTGATCAGAGCGAAATCCTGATATATATTCACATATAGAGGACTGTATCTGTTTGTACTCTGATTGCTTTAAACTTTGGGCACATATGTGAGGGTTCATTGGTGTGTGAAGCATTTTCTTTATGGTTCAGTCTCTGTCACGACACTTCCCTCACCAGAAGACCTCCCCTGAGTTGCTAAGGAGAGCCAATGATGTTTTATGAAGACAATGGAAACACTGCTGTATCACTGCTGTGCACATGCATTGACACACACACACACACACACACACATACACACACACACATGCTCATGCACATCAGTGGAACAAGACAGTTTTGCTTCATTGTTGCGTGTAAGTGAAAATCAATCATCTTTAAAGCACACAGTTTTGCTTAAGGAATATTAAATACTAAAAACTTTAAGAACTTACACGTTCTAAATTTACTTGTGCAATAAAAGGACTATCCAATGGGGAGGTGGGCCAGAGGTTGAATTCATGCTTCTGGGTTCAAATCCCATGCTAACACGCATGAATTTATCCTTTTGTAATGAAATAAAGTTTTAATTCTAATCCAGTAGATGTAATTGATTAACTTGGCTTCAAAGCAGTGATCTATTTATTGTTTTCCTGTTGCTCAAACATTATAACATGGCACTAGCAACAGCAAGGTAATGGGTTCAATTCCCAAGGAATGCATGAGCTGATAAAAATGTATGTCTTGAATGCAATATGGATTAAGGTGTTGGCCAAATCCAAAAATAAATAAAAAATTATTATAAAACCTATTACCTATAGCCTATTACCTATTGCAACAAATGAATAGCACATGGGAAACAATCCTTCAAGGCAGTTAGAGCAATAATTCAACTTTTCTTTTTTAATTTCAATAAAAAAGTTATTATTTTATTAAAATGATATTACATTATTATTTTATTTAACAAAAAATTATTGAAAGATGATTTAATATTGTTTTTAGTTTTGATCTGTATTTTTATAGGCGTTTGAATACTGGAATCCAAGCTATAACAAGACTTGAATATTGAAGAGTTTTGGTAGTGGGGTTGTCAGACTTGTCAAACTGCTGGGACATAAATATATTTATATATTTCTCTCTCCTCTCTTTTAGCTCTTGGACAAATCATGCTTTATGTGGATGGAATGAATGGGCTTATTGGACACACTGAAACTGTACAGTGGCTTTACACACTGGTCGGATCAAAGGTAAAATACATTTCACTATGAAAATTATTAATGGGTGTGTGTATTTCACTTTGTGATTTTTCCTGCTTCCTAGTGGGTCAAGTGATACATGATATATCGGTACCATATTGGTTATCGGTTATTTTCAATGTTTTTTTGTTTGTTTGTTTGTTTGTTTTATTAGCAAGGGTTAATACATATATCAGCTGAAATTAAATATTTAATTGTTCTAACTTAAAGTTAATATAAAAACATTAATAATTTAATAACACCATTAAATATAATTTTTAAGCAAACCTCAAAAGGAATATGCAGTTTTCACATAGATTATCAGATTGTGGTGCCTAAATTCACTTGTAGAGTAAAACAGCTGAAACAGTTTATTTAAAACAGTTGATTTTAGTTTTTGGTGTTTCACTCTTAATTTATTTAGACAAAATAGAAGCCATAACATGAAAATAATTGGCTTATTGGTATCGGCCAGAATTTCATTCATATCGGTGTGTCCTTACTTATAATGCTTGATGTATATAATAGCATATCATGAATTATATAAATAAAATTCAAATAAAAATAAAATGCAAATAACACAATTTTGACATGCTATTCAACTTTATTCAGCCTATGTCATGTGTATAATTTTGAGTATTGCTGGGCCTATGCACTTCAATGTAATGTTAATACAATGTTTTTTTAAACCTAGTCTTAAAGCAAAAGTAAATGAGAAACTCTTGCTTTGAATATCCAGATCTATTATTTTGTTTTGAGGTAATGAATTCAATAAGGCCCAGAAGGTACTGTTTCTTGTATTTATGTTCTTTTTGCCAATGTTTGCAAATGTTTTAAATTAGGGCAGCTTCCAGGTGTGCCAACTTGAACAATACTCACAGGGTGGCGTAGTTTTGCACGCAGTGTTCATGACTGACTTTCCTGTTTTTTCCCTGTATTTATGTTCTTTTAAGCCAATGTTTGTAAAGCATGCTTTAACTCAGCAGGGCAGCTTCCAGGTGTGCCAGCACACAGAGTGTGGCACGGTTTTGCACGGCACGATCAATGTTCTGGACTGATTTCCTCTCTCAGTCCCGTCCAGCCCTCTAGTGGCAATATGAGCACATAGGATATAGGACGCATGGATGTGTGTGTGGATGTGTGTGTGTGTGTGTGTGTTAGAGGTTGGATGTGAATGGATATTTGTGATCACCACATCAACAGATATTATTATGCAGCTCTGTGTTGGATGCAGCCATGTTTAAATGCATTTCTTCTTCTCTCTCTTTCTGTTATATGACACATATGAAAGATGCAGTATGGTTTGAAAGAGCAGCTCTTACTTTATTAAACACAGATCTGTTTCTCGTTTCTCCTCCCATTCTCCACTCCATATACACATGCTTGACCCTGTTTTTTTTGGTCTGTTGGATTTCCGCGGTTCTTCTCTTTTTCACATTTTCCTTATCAGGGAAATACAATGTGTCAATATTGCCATGTCTAATGCATTTAAGAAATCATGTATAATTTTGCAAAAGCAAAATTTAAATCTGAAATTTTTGTTTTCCTGTAGCAATATCTGAACTTAGATAATTACAAGATTACAAGAAGAAAAATTGTATACACTTATAAAACCAGTTTTTTTTTAGAAAATATATAATAACTTGAGTTTATTTTTAACCCTTTAGCAAGTTATTTTTATTTTTTTTAGCATTAACCTCACAAAAGTTTGTTCGATTTACTGCATGCTTAAAGCACATATAAATAAACAAATAAATGAATATATGAATGAATAAATAAATAATGACTGTGGGGTAAGAAAAATAAACACTCTCGGGCGAGATCCCAATTCGTCACTCACTGACGTAACGTAGAACGTGACTGACTGAATGGGAACTAAGATGTCTAAGGGGACTACAAATCCAGGAGAATAGAGAACAGACAGGAAAAAAGGGTTACAACACAGGCTACTTACGGGACATTTAAAGTAGCTCCTTCTCCTGTCAGTGTGCAGTCATGTGTCAGAGGCTGTTATCAATATCCTCCATGGTACCCCATTCAGGAAAATGTGTCAAGATATTTTCTGGGCATTTACACTCTTTAAATATTTATTCAATTTAGTCTAGACAGTGTAAGATCATGTGTGAGCTGCAAAATTTCATATTATTGGCTGTAAGGGCAAATGTTATGATTAGTGTTATGTTGTTGTATAGAAATAAATAGTGTTTCTTTGTGTGTGTACATGTGTGCAGTTCCGGTTGGTTGTTAAAACTGCTCTGAAGCTGCTGCTGGTTTTTGTGGAATACACCGAGACCAACGCACCTCTCCTCATCCAGGCCGTCAACACCGTAGACACCAAGCAAGGTAACATACACACATTACAAAAACAAACACACCCACGCTTATGAAAGGTGAAATACTCTTGGAAAGTTGTCGCAGTGTCTCTGGAAATCCATTTTCAACTCTCAGTCTCTGTATTTGAGTCCAAGCTGAGCTCTGGATGTTACTGTGTGTGCGGGGGGGACTAAAATGATAGCGAGAAACGCTCTTCTCTGATGAGGTTTGGTTACCTAGAAGAGAGAAAGCAACAGATAACAAATTGTTCTTGACGCTTTTTAAGATATTTTTTACGTAATTGCTCATATTATCGGCCCCTGGCTTGGCAGTGAACAAAATTTGATAGCCTGCAGAGTAAATCAAGATTAATGGAATGGGAAAAAAATTGTTGATAGGACAGCTAGAATGAAAGTTTAATGCTGTTACATAAGAAGAGAGAACGCTGTCTCTGGTCTCCCAGTGAGAGACAGACAGGCTGGCAGATGAAGCAGAACGTCTCCTGCTATTAATCTACATATCAGACATTTTCTCCTCAAACTAATGCTGCTCATTTCTCTGTGAACCAGCCATATTTCAACCGATGTACTTCAAAAACCGTTAGATGTTTATTAAACCACAGTTCCTTTGAATCCAGTGAATTTGTTTCAATACGTTTCTTTATTTTTTCGTTTTTTAAGACAGCTTTTGTCTGCCAAATCAAAGCCATGTGGCACAAGACTCAAAAAAACAAAACACAACACAGCAAAATAAAACACAAAACACACCAAAACAAAACAAACAAAAAAACTAAACATGTTACATTTATTCATTTAGCAGACACTTTTATCCAAAGCGGCTTACAAGGATACAGGAAGCGAAACAATGCCTGAAAACAAAACAAAACACAACATAAAACAGGAAATTATATCATATGCCATTACTGTGTCAAAGCTAATAAGTCCTTAAATATCAGATCATTTGATCTTTGGTTTTAAAATGTCATGTGGTGATATTTATAAATGAATGATTAATGATATTTGTATATATTTGCATACATTTTACCTTAAAAAATGTATACTCTCTTATGTGTCATTGACCCTTTCGTTTACGTGTATCCAGGCTGTAAGCCCTGGTCTAATGCCATGGAAATCTTGGATGAAAAAGATGGAATGGACACTGAGCTATTGGTTTATGCCATGACCCTTATCAACAAGGTACCAGTACAGTATTATGTTTCAAAAATGTCACTCTTTTTGCTCACTCTCAGTCACGTGGTGTTATACATAAAGTTACATTAGTACTTTTATTCCAACCCAGTCTCATAAAAATACGTACCTCTGGGTGCTTTTCTGCAACACCGTTTTTACGTACCTTACTGCACGTTTCACCTCAGTTTCAAAGAGAAATGTCCACTGAGTGGCGCTAAAACACGGGTTCAATACGTGAACCCTGGCACGTTTCTATTACGTTGATATAGGTACGTATTGCTGTGTTTTTACTGCGTTGCTTCAGGTACATATTGCGGCGGTTCAGAATTCAAATATCCGGGGACTGTCGCTAAAAGTTAATGCTCTATCGTGTTGGAAATATGCCCTACACGAAACCCAACCCTAAACCTACCCAATAGTGTTAACAAATGCAAAACTGATATAAAAACGCATTTGTTGATGCAACCGTGTCATTTGAACTTACTTATATGCAGATTTGAACCATTTGTCGAACCGTAGTTACACGAGAAGACACGGAGCTCCTTGCCTCTCAAGTACGTCTCCGTACTCCGTGAGCTACCGAACAAACCTACCGTCGATGAAAACCCATTAATATGAAGCTGGATATGTGCGGTGCTAACGTTCAAAAGCATCCGTTTTCAAATCTCCCAGCATATTAAAATTAATCGAAACTCTGTAAATGTGTGTGAAAAGGAATAAAAGGTGTCGGAGTTTTACTGCCTCTAGTGTTCATTTCTTTTGGAAACTGCAGTGATATGTACTTATTGGTATGTATTTCGCGTCTCGCGAAAATGTACCCCCGGGTACGTTTTTGCCATGAGACCAGATTGTTTTATTCTCATGTATCTGTGGTATTCCTGCAGACATTAGCTGGTCTTCCTGACCAGGACACGTTCTATGATGTGGTTGACAGTCTGGAGGAGCAGGGCATGGAGGCCGTGGCCCAGAGACACATCAACAGGAAGGGCACAGATTTGGACCTAGTGGAACAGTTCAACATCTATGAGGTTAGCATGTGCTTAGTTTGCTTTTCAATTCAACATTTATTGTTGTTTTTTTGCACCAAAACTAAAATGTATGAAGAATTTTATGAACAAAAACGTAATACTTGATATATAAATCCTTAATAAAGATGCAATGTTTGCTGTTAGTCTAATAGTCGTGTTTATTCATAGTCAACCCTACGTCATGAAGACGGCGATGATGAGACTCAGCCTCCTCCATCCGGACACATAAGTCGGCGTCGGGCCAGCGTAGGAGCCACACCTGAGAGGCGGGGTTTGGAACGTCGCCGCAGCCGAAGACATTCACTCCAAAACGGGAAAGGCCACACCTCTGCTCCTTCTTCCCCCTGTCACAGCCACACGCCCAACATCCTGCCCCTCAGTGGCCAGAGAATAGACGATATCAGCGAAAGGTGAGAAGAGAGAAAAAGAGAGATAGAAGTTGAATAATTTACATTGTGTCTATAGTACATTTATACTACATTTAAAACAAGTAACAGGATCCTTTATACAAGGATGTAACTAAAATGTCATACCTTCATACCTATACCTTAAGAATGCTGGCATGTAAGAGTTTTATTTATTTATTTATTTATTTACATCATTTATAATAAACTTCATTTATTAAACGTCATTAACTAACATTTTCATTAATATGCTTTAAGAATGTTGGACATGTAACATGTTTATTTATTTATTTATAATAAACGTCATTTATTTATTTTTGTGGAATAAGTATAATTGTTATTACTTATCAAAGTTTTTAACTTCGAATAACTTATTTTAAATAGCCAGTCAAATATGATACATAAGATTATGTGCATTTACTTGAGAAGCAACTTTGTGTGTGATTTGTTTTTCAAATAATATATACAAACAATATAAATAAAATGTTTACATTTTAAAGTTTTTTGTTTGTTTGTTTGTTTAGACAGTGTATTTATTTATTTAGACAGTTTATTTATTTAGACTATTTTAAACAGTTGACAAATAATGTATCTACTAGATAATTTTGCTTCTGAAGTACATTTATCTTGTATGTGTAGTTATTTTTACTGGACAACTAAACAATACACAGATTATGAAAATGTAAAACTAATGATATGACACTTTCAATTGTTGTCTTGCGACATCTATAAAAAAGTGAAAGTGAAAGTGAAAGTGAAAATCCTTACACTAAGCCATTTTTTACCCTCCCCAGACCACATGTATTCATTTTCAGCCATAAAACACTATGTGTAGTTCAGAATGTACTGATTTTTAAAGAACAGGAAGCAGTTTTATATTGGGTGTTCTATCACGTTACTTTTGACATGAGAGTTTTTAAGTCCCAAAAGAAGATGGAGAATTTAATAATGCTCCGAGGGAGAGACAGAGAGCACTTGCTAGTGCACAGACATTCATATTAATCATATGTACATGAGGGAGGTGGTGGGAACCTGTGAGGCTGAGAGGAAATAGGAAGTTACTGAAATATGGTGGTTCGAGCCATGCATACTTCTCAGGACTGTAGCACAGCATGAGGTGCTCGATCTTGTCCTTGTATATTTTGTTGTAAACTATAATAATACAACTTAATACGTATCCTTTGAATGTTTCAAAGGACAAAGGTGAACGCATAGATATCCAAACTGGGAATCACAGTAGTATATCAGCCACCGAAAAAGCTTCATATGGTTTTTCTCTCATCCAGCGAGTCAGTCGTAAGTAGGGACACGGTAAGGTCACATAAGGCGGTAGAGAGAGAGAGTACAGTCCAGTTAAGCCGCTCTCTGTTAGTGAAATGTTGGGGAGTCTGGATGTATTCTGTGTCTCTGGGAGGATCTTATAGATGTGATATTGAATTACAGTGCCCGGAAAATTTACTCACCACTGTGTTAGATTGGCCATCACATTTGAGTAATTACAACGTACTGTGAGTCCTGTAATCAAGAGTAGAGATCTAATCAGAAGTTCATTGGTGTTTAAGCATCATAAAATCCTTGTAAGAAGATGAAAATGCAAGTATAAATATAAATAATATAAATACAAATACAAATATATAATATAATATAATAATACAATACATTATAATATAACATAATATTAATACAGACATTGCAAGAAGAATGTTTTTAAGCCTCAAATTATATATAGTTCATAGATTAAAATGTATTTGTATAATATATATTATATCATGTAATTATTTCCTATATTAATGATGTTCAAAAGTTGAGATATTGAGAAAAGTTGAGAAAAGAAAAGAAATTCATATTTTTGTTTTGCAAGGGTGCATTAAATTAAATAAAATGTGACAGTAAAGACAAAAAGTGTATCACAGTTTCCACAAAAATATTAAGCAGCACAACTGTTTTCAACATTGGTATTAATAAGAAATATTTCATAAGCGCCAGATCAGCATATTAGAATTATTTCTGAAGGATCATGTGACACTGAAGACTGGAGTAATGGCTGCTGAAAATTAAGCTTTGCCATTACATAAATAATAAAAATAATAATAATAAAATGTTTTTATTTTTTATTTCTTTATTTATTTTTAATAAATGCAGCCTTGGTGAGCAAAAAAACGACAGAATTGTACTGACCAAACATTTTGGATGGTACATATGTTTTAAAAATATATCTTATAAAAATGATCTTATTTTAGAACAAATCTTATTACCTTCTCAAGTATATGTATGTTGTTTTAAAGACATTTACATGTTTTTACTAGGAGGTGAAAACAAAATTGATTAAAATACTGATTAAACTATAGTAAAATATCTAAAATTTCCCTCTTAAAATGTCTTGATATCTAGTATCTGTTATTATCTGTTATAGTATCTGTTATCATGTTCGTTATCTCAGCCATAATGCTAAATAATTATCGACAAGCAACATCTGTAAACTGTAACTACGAACAAAACTGTTGCTATGAACTTGTGCCTGTCTGAAAGCCTGCAGTCAGATAGTAGCCAGTAAAGCAAGAATATGTCTGAGAGCCAGCAATACTCCTGTCACTATCTCTTTATATCTCACGTCACTCTCCTCCTTTTGTTGAGCTGAACAGACTGCTTGTGCTTTCGATTATTGATGACAGGATCTGCTGTTAGTGATGGGCTTCATGGGTTATTTTTCTTTGAGTGGTTTGGTTGACAGATAGTTGAATTCATCTCAGTCAGTCATCTGATCCTGACGTCTGTTAGCTAACCCACCACAGGAAATTAGAAGGACCTTTGAAGTGCTGTGTTTTCCATATTAGTAATAAATATCAGTCTACTGGGAGATGGAGAGAGAGAGCGAGACCCTTGAGCAGTAAGGCACGGGACTTCTCCTCTTCTTCCTAAAGGTCTTAATTCTTTGCTGTGTTGACTGTTGTGTAACTCAGTGGGTCTCAACTGGTGGGTCGTGACCCAAAAATCAGTTATTGTTCTGTTTTGACGATGGGAATTGTGATAAATTAAATATTTTGAAAGATTAAATACAATTACAATTTCCAAATGATAAATTTAAAATGATTCTTGCAAAATAAATGACTTTTCATGGTCTTTTTAGTGGCAGACTGGCCGCCTTTTTATGTGTGCTTGATTCATTGAAAGAACTGACTCATTAGAGTTGACCAACATATTGATAACCTTACATATAAATAACCTGGCAAAGAAAGTAAACCATATTTTAATCAAAAAAACTGGTTATTTCCCAGAGGTTACATCAAAACATAAACAACCATTCTACTCAGAGTATTCCATTTGTTCTGTGAGTTGTGATGTTAATTTTTTATGACCTTATGCCGATAAATGAAAACAGTTTAACGCATTTACATAACCATAGGAGTTGTTGTCTTATTAAGCATAATCAGTTTAAGAGCGTGCATGTATATGCACTCACTGTGATTGACGAAAAAGTATCGGCTCAAAGAAGTCATTCGTTCAGCATTCAGACTACACTGATTGTGTTGTCTATTTCGGTCTATAGATTCATGCTGCTTTCATTTGCTATCAGATATTTCCTACGTCCCACTTCTGAAGACGTAATTATAAGTTTGTCACAATCGAGTGCTTTGTTGTGGGAAAGAATAAGAAACATGGAGGACACCAGGTTCATTATTGCCTATTTCTTGGGGAAAAAGCTTATTAAAGCCAAACTTAATAGAAAATATTTAGTCAATATCCAACACATTTTGAGGTGTAATATCCCATTTTCTGGCAACTATATAAACATTACCCGCATTCACCACTAACTTAAGAGTTGATAATTGTTACTTGTGGAATCTAGATAATCATCTTGGAATCACGATTCCATAATTTCAGTCAAATAAATGCTATTTTCATTGTGTTACATACAATATGTATGTTACGTGACTGTAACGACAAGAGAAAGCAATATAGATGTTGTGGGCAAAACGGATAAAACATAGCAGTCACTACAGCAATGGTTTGCTCCTCCTCCATGTTTATAGTTTACAGCCCAAAGTCATAAATGCAGTATCAAAATTATCTCTTGGGTTTCCCAGTCATACATACGACTTGAGAGGCCATTTGTGTCTAATTTTCATCTAGGACAGGGGTAGGCATGTTCAATCCTAGACAGCCGCTGTCCTGCAGAGTCCTGCAAATCGCACCCTAAACCCTGGGATTTTCCTCCGAGTCCACACTTTCATGATGTAATGCCGATTTGACTGTCAGGTAGAGGTCTGCCACAGAGCTCGCCTCAGTGCACATCGAGAGCGCATACTGGCCGCAAAGGGGGCACTGTCGAGCACCCTTCTGAAAGCTAAAATGACAAATGGGACACCCTACAGTCTCATGGACTTAACGGACACACACACGAGGCGGCCATTGTAAGTGCACAAGACCGCAAGTGCACGTGAAGTGTGCCATTTGGGACAGAATCAATGTCTTAAGGATTACTAAGGCTATAGGCAGGTGAGATTTGTTTTCAGGGTTGGAGCTAAACTCTGCAGGACAGTGACTCTCTAGGACCGACCTTGCCTACCCCTGGTCTAGAAAAAAATATTTATGATTATTCCAATAGCGCTTTGAAGGCAGCATCCTTCGCAGTGGTTTCCTGCATATTGGGTTGACATGACATGAAGTTTGACCAAGTAACATAACATGACTTTTCCTAAAAGTTTTGTGTTGTGATTACCTGTGTCATATTGTTTGCCATCAGAGCATGTGGTGAAGGTTCTTGTTCTTGTCCTCTCCTTTCATTTGTTCTTCCTCTCCTTTCTTTACTCATCCCTCCTTCCAACCCTCAACCCCTCCTTTTCGCCACAGAGAGGAGGAAGAGGAGGAAAAGGATGAGGAGATTCAGAAAACAGAGCTTTCTAGACAGGCATCCGAAAGGTATTTCAGCAGGAATAGGATTTCAGGGTGTAGAGTCTTAGAGCTAGAAACCAGATAGTAGATCCTTATCCATTTTCTGATGTTATCTCTTCCCTGACTTGACTAACATAAATGTCTCCCAACATATCATGGTGTTCACCATCATTTACTAGATCTTCTGCTGTTATTTTGTTGTTCGTAGCTGGATGCCATCAACAGTAGATGAAGCTTCTAGCTTGTGTTTGCCTTTAAAGTGCATGGTCAACTTCATTCCTAATGCCGCTGATACAGACAATGAGGAAAACCTCCGGGACAGGTCTGAGATCAAGGTTATCCGCAAGGCCCCAGTGTCCTCCCCTCCTTTTACCCCAGATTTTGGCCCCCCGATATCACCCAGACTGTCTTCTTGGGCATCGGTCAGGTCCTTGGGGGCCCTCCCGTCCCGGGGTTCCTCTGTCACCTCCTCAACCTCCACCTCCCCAAGCGAAGACCCCCTGTCCCCTGTCCTTCCTCTGCTCTCTTCCACACTTCTTCCTACTTGCCCAGTGGATTTGGACGAGGTGTCTGTGGGCACTCCGCAGGCTCGAGACCCAGACAAGCACTGCAGGTAGTGCAGATAGATGCAGCAGATTCTCGCCACTCACAGAATAAGTTCCATGCATGTGCAGATGGGCTCTGTTCCAAATCTTAGTGAGCTACCTGCGTAGTTAGGGATCATAGGCACAACACAAAATCTGTTCCAGCTGAGAGTAGGCAGGAAAATTTTGGCCAAATTTAAGGCAGCTTCTCACGTACTCCTTGGGGTTAATATAGTCACAATATCTATCTATCTGTCTGTCTGTCTGTCTGTCTGTCTGTCTGCTGTCCGTCCATCCATCCATCCATCCATTCATCCATCTACAGTATCTGTCTATCATCCATCCATCCATCCATCTACAGTATCTGTTCCTCCATCCATCCATCCTGTGTGGTGTGCGTTTGTCTGGTAATGGAGTTGCTGCCTATGTAAAGTGTTTCAAGTCATATTCTATTGGGTTCCTGTCTTGAAAGAGAGCCACCTATGTAGACAGTTAAGTTTGGAATAGAGCCATTCAAAGCTGCATGTCATATTCAGAGAATGACTTTCACTCCCACATACTGTAAGTCAAGCTATGAGATCCCTGAGAGATGAACTTAGGAAACCCATGTCTGTTTTTACTGATTCAAGTCTCACAAACACTACGACCACCGTATTTGTGGAACTTTCATCCTCTAATTGGAAGGAAGTGTGGCATGGGATTCGCTTGATCTCTGTATCTCCTGTGAATGGCGAGGGTTTATTGCTTTGCCTGTTCCATCAAGCCCACCTCTGAAAAGAGTCAGACCCTCACCTAGTGGATCACCACCCTATCCCTTTGTATCCGCTTCCAAGAGAACACTGTAAAACGTCCTGTATCTTCCAAAAATTGCACCCTCATAAAAAGTGCTACTCTCACTGTTTCTTAACTTATGGTCATGAGCAATATGTGGCTTATCCTGTCTTATATATCAAATCTTAGGCCAATAAAAGAAGAAATGGATACCAGTATGATCAGAGCCTGATAAATCATTATACTCTGTGGGCTTTATGTTGCTTCCTTTATATTTGATGGAATGCAAAAAGACTGATCGTTTTATAAACTAAAGTCTCCTTTTTTCACTTGCACCAGCCACTGTAGTACACTCCCTAAAGGATGCTAACTTTTAATGACATTTACAGCTCATCTGCCTTTCATTGGTGCATTGTACCACTACAAAGCCAAGAGAAGCCTGTAAATTAAGTCACATATAAAGAGGCAATTGTATTTCACCCTGGACAGTGCCTGTAGGGTCCACATTTCATGAGAATAAAGCTGAAAATGCTGTGCGATGTCATGTGCATGTTTGTCTGACATTAAGACTGTGGCAGCTTGAGGAACCCATCTGGATTATAAAGTGGATCAAAGACAGTCCTTTTTTAGTCTGCTGGCTCTATGCAAACGTGGACTCTTTAATATTTAATAGCCTAATTACACAACAGTCTTATGCTAACAGCACAGTACACTATTAAAGTCAACATGACATCAAAATCTTCTCTTCTGGGAAAACTGGGCAACCATTGATGACACAGCCGACTTACCTGCCATGGACTAGCAATGGCAAGCAAGGGGTGAAGATTAAATTTGTTAGCATGGTCAAGTTTGCCCCTGCTGGTAGGTGTTGTAACTACACCAAAAGTCATCTTTCTCCATTGATGACCTTTCAAAACTAGCCTCGTATTTTATCTTTTTACATGCTACAATTGCTAATCTATTGTAGTGGATTTCACTGACATATTATTATTATTGGTGGTCTCGTAAAGGTGAAAATTGCATTTATTTTCCCCTTCTGCTGTCCTTGCTGGCTATTTAGTCTTTAATATTTAAATTAATAAACAGATACTGCTTTGATTCACTTTCTGTCTGTATTGTCACTGTACTTGTCTCTCGGCTGCACTTGTCCCTCTGTCCTCTTTTCCTGTCCCGGTTGTCAGTCAGACTAATCCTTCTGTAATTTATGTATAGATTACTAACTTCTTTTCATGTTCTGTCTCTTCTGTGCAGTCTGTCAGATGTTAGATACTCAAACACCTCATGCAGTTCATGTGGCAGGTAAGGGAACAAAGCAAGTTTGTGAGCTTTGGTGCAGTTTCAAAGGAAAAGGTCATGTGGGTTCAAGTCTGGCTTGTGTCATTTCCTAAATACTTCGTCCCATCTTTTCTTGTTTATCTCCTGGTGTCTACATAAAAATGTTTTAAAGTTTTAAAAGCATAAAGGTGTACCATAGTTAACCAATTTTATATATTGATATATTTTTAAATATTTGTAATCAATTACAAAAACATGTTAAATATGAATGAAGACAATTTTATTTTATTTTATTTTATTTATTTATTATACCATAAAATTCTACAGAGCAGGTTTTCATTTGGCAAGTCGAAAATAATTCACAACACTTTAAAGTGTAATGGCTCTTTATGTTTTTAGGTGCTGGAACACTTTGGAATTTCGAACAGTGTGTGTTTGTTTCATTGGTAGTCAGTGTTGGGCAAGTTACTTCCAAAATGTAATACATTATATATTACTTATTACTGCCTATTGAAAGTAATTAGTTACATTACAATATTACTGTCTCTGAATTGTAATGTGTTACACTACTTTTGAGTTACTTTTGAGTTACTTTCACTTTCAAGAACAAACCGCAATTACATTCAGAAAGCGGAATGTTATAGGCCCTAATGAACAAGCAATAAACACAATAGCAAGTCTAAAGGCTAGTTCTCCTCACTCCACAACAAATCCTTTAAATTTAACTGTAGCCTATTCAGAACAAAACAAGAATGAAAAATATAAATTGCTAAACAAGTCAAAACTAATTAATTTAAAGCGAAATTGAAAGCAAACGCCTTTGTTCTCACACAGTCTACCTCTATCATTCGGCACAAATCCATGTTTCTATATTCACGATGTATTTGAATGCTAAACTTATTTACTATGTATAAACCATGCTTTTGTACTTAACGCGCTTTCCGCAAAAAAAAAAAAAAATCACACTCTTCACATGAACAAATATGTGCTTGGCCGAGCTCAGGCTGAACGACACGGATTGTACGGACGATTTTACTTACCAGTGTATCTATATTTGGTTGACTGTATTTTATTCTGAACATCTGCAACGTTTGCAATGCTGTAGCCTATGTTTGTGCGTGAGGCGCCGGCGCGATCGAACAGCGGAAACATAAAATACTTCGTTATTTTTGGTCATACAGATCCTTCGAAACTGCAATGTGTTTACTTTTATTTTAAGATGCGCTTGTCATCTCGGTTTCCTTTCCGTGACGAGCTCAGGCTGAACGACACGGATTGTACGGACGATTTTACTTACCAGTGTATCTATATTTGGTTGACTGTATTTTATTCTGAACATCTGCAACGTTTGCAATGCTGTAGCCTATGTTTGTGCGTGAGGCGCCGGCGCGATCGAACAGCGGAAACATAAAATACTCCGTCATTTTTGGTCATACAGATCCTTCGAAACTGCAATGTGTTTACTTTTATTTTAAGATGCGCTTGTCATCTCGGTTTCCTTTCCGTGAACTTTTGCAGAGCGCCGCGCCACAAAAATTAACTAAAAACTCATATTTTACTACTATTTTACTTTTTTCTTTTCTTTCGTTTTGTTAATATGTTAATTATTTAAGTCAATATATATTTCACGTATTAATTCCTTTTATATGTAGACTATGATTTAATAAAAACAGATTGTTATTTTTAGTTAAACTTAATTTGTTGCTCGTCCGCCGCATTCTTTCTCTTCTCCGACCCCGCAGTATGCCCATCTCACAAATGTAGAATCCGTCTCAGTCATCTCAACCATCGAATTACAGCAAAAGGAAATAGGCAAAGTATTTTACTCGAGGAATTTATTGTCTGGTGCTGTTTTGCGGTGTTGGTAAATAAATTCACAACTTAATTTTGAGTTAAAATATGACATTATTTTGTCCGTTACTGAGATTGTAACGAGTAATAATATTACCCAAATTTTATTAGTATTGCGTTATATTACTGCGTTACAGCAAAAAGTAATATACTACTGTAATATTGTTACTTTTGTAATGCGTTACTCCCAACACTGTTGGTAGTAAGTGAGGATTCATTCCCAGCTCTGAGTTCTTACTCCGATAATATGTGTAATGAATCACAACAGACTCAATCATTGAGACAAGTGTAGGGAGCGAATGACAGCGTGTCACTGACCTCTTTTAATAATGCACAGAGAAACAAGCCCCCTCATGTCTTGAATCATATCTTCCAAAACAAGGTCATATCACGTACATCTGCAGCTAGTGATCTAAACTGGCAAGCAGCTTTATTTGGGGAGAAGAGTTTATTTTGTCACTCACTCGTGTGAAAGCTTGATTTAGCAGAGCACCTGTGTGCGTGTGTGTGTGTGTGTCTTTGGCTGTTTGGGCAGTCGAGTGAGGCTTCACATTGGCCTATTCACAGAGAGTGTCTGTTGTGGTCCTGATGGAGGAAATACATGACATCATTTGGAATCAGAGCTTCACCCCCCCTTGGCTGTGTGTACTAGATGATGATAAGTGTGATAAATGAAGTGAATGGAAAATATGGCCGTTAGTTCTCTTGGATAAATCGAGACTTTAGCTTTATGCTGTTAAGAGAAAACTTCAGGACAAAGAATCCTACAAATTAATTTGGTTATATAAGGCTGAACTTTGAATTAAATTATCTTTTTCCATCCTTTAGCAATGGCTACGCAGGGACATATCCCGGCAGGTCATCCGGGGTGTCCAGTGCCCCCTCCACACCATGCAACCGCTTCGGCCCCTCAGGAGGTCCACCTGCAGACAGTAAGCCCGACAGGTGAGGCACTGTTCCCCTTTTGATGTGCATATGGCTCTATTCTGCACAGGAATCTTTGAATGTAACAGTTCTGAGGCTAAAGTGGTTGTGATTATAAAAATAACATCAGAGAATTTTCAAAACATTTAAAAGGTGTCCTCTACTATGATTGGATAACCTCCTCATACCATTACATTACATTGTCGTTCATCAGGGCAAGCTAAATACTGACTCTTTAAATGCCCAAGAATATAATTCTTGCTATATTGAGATATAGTTGTTCTGAAATTCTGTTCCTCTTTGGTTTCTCTGGTTCTCCAGGCCTACTCTAGGTGGATTGTTAACCTCCTCCTACAGGCAACATCAGGAGTCTCTGAATGCTGAACGTGAGCGGAGGCGCCTGGAGAGAGAGGAGAGACTTCAGCGCATTGAAAGAGAAGAGAGAAACCGTTTCAAGTTTGTGGCCTTTCTCAGCATTAATTTTGATGCAGTGTGTGTTTTCACCCAGGGCTACATTATTTCATGAATATGACAAATACATCAGCGTTTCCAACGTCATCTTGGAAATGGCCATGAGAAACATTTTATCCAGCAGTTTAGAAAAGCAGCCGAGGCCTACATCCAAATTTTATCAGATATCTGGGAGTTTTCCTGACTGGACAAGTTATTGCTTCTTATTATGGTAATTCAAAGATCAGACAGTGAATAATCATGGTGGGCTGCAGGAAGACAAATGCTTGTTCTCTCTTTATGCTTGTCAGTCCTACCATATACTCAGTCTTTTAGTCAGCCTCTTCTGTTGTGTAATATCAAATTAAAACACCAACTTGAATGGTTGCTACTTGATTAACAATAAACATAAAAAAACTATATATAAACAATATTTAACCCCATGAACTCCAAAATGAATTTTGTTGAATGTATTTTTCACTTTTTACATGTTTGCTCATGTTGATTTTCTTTTTTGCAGTCGGGATTACGTGGACAAGAGAGAAGAGGTCAAACAAGCTCGAGAAGAAAGGTAAATTCCAGAGTGACTTAATATACTATACTATAATGTAACATAAAAATAAATAGTCACACTTTATTTTAAGGTCCAATTCTCACCATTAACAAACCATTAACTATTACTTTTTCCTCAATAAACTCCTAATTTGCTGCTTATTAATAGTTAGTTAGGTAGTTGTTAAGTTTAAATATTGGGTAGGATTAGGGATGTAGAATATAGTCATGCAGAATATGTGCTTTATAAGCACTAATAAACAGCCAGTATGTTAATAATAGGCATGCTAATAAGCACCTAGTTAATAGTGACAATTGGTCCCTATATATAAGTGTTGCTAATAGAATATTATAATGGCTCTCTGGAATATTTGATCCTGATTGGTCAATCATGGCATTAAGTGGTAAAATATGTTTGTATAGTGTACAATAAACTGTACCGTATATTTGGCTATTGTTCATGGCAGCTTATTGGTCCTATCAGTCTCTCCTCTTGTGACTTTGTTACGTGACTTTAGCTACCTTTACAGTAGCTACTAACTTGGAGGACTTCAGTATTACTTTGTAATTTTAGTAAATTAGTATTGTAATGTTGTTTCAATGGTTGTTTTGTTGCTAAAGTAAGTATTATATTAAAAAACATCCTTATGTTTCTAACATTGTAATGATGGACAGAAATTTGTTCTACTTTCTTTATCATGACTTATATCAGACAATTATTTCTCATACAGTATCACAGAAGATTTCTATCATATTGGAAAAATTACTGCGGTCCAATGCAATTATGTCATAAAGCCTTGTGCCGTGTTTAATATAAATGATCAGCACAATGGTAGTAATACACCTTGAAAACATTTATTGTACTGAGCAGCAGATGGGAAGCGTGTCGGCACGCGCTGCAGGTGAAATATGGGCGTCAGGGCCCCTTTATGCCTGCTGTAGATTAAGACCTTTAAAGACGGCAGGACACGGTGTGTAATTGACTTTAGACATGGGCTTTTTCCATTTACAGTAAATGTTAAAAACATGCATCCTGGCAAGTGGAAATGTCTTTGCATTTATCCCAGATCTTATCAAAAGTCACGGTCTTCCAAACTTGATTTGATGTGAACCTTACAGTATAGTATAATGATGTTATGGAATTAAAGGATAAGCCAACTTCAGGTGATAAAAAGAAAATGTTATATAGTTATGAAACATCTGGTTCTTGTTTTTAGTAAATGTTTTATATTAGAACTGGCGCATATTTTTTGGGTTGATAAGACAGGAGGAGACAGCATCTGTTTTGACACCTGTTAAGGGAGCGTTATAGGTAACATAGTGGGAGGATTTGGTGTGGAAGAATTTGGAAGTGAAGTTTGTTTATGTACAAAATTGGAATCCATATTCTCTTGCATGCTGATTGCACTGAAATTGTCTTTGTTTTATTTATCGGTCCACAAGTACAATTCCCCTGAAGCAAATATTAACCATTAAATCATTAAAATCATTAAAAAATCATTACAAAATCTGGTTTAAAACACACATGCCATACAAATGTAAACTTGCGAGTATGCATATCTTAGGCCCAATCCCAATTCTACCCCTTAGCCCTTCCCCTTTCCCCTACCCCTCCGTTTCGCACGTTCACGTGAAGGGGTAGGGGTGTCTCAATTCTCTTTTGGTTGGAGGGGTAGGGGTAGGGGAAGGGCTAGATAGCCCTTCAAATGAAGATTTTTCGGGACCACACTTCAAACGAAGGGGTATGAATTATCTCAGCGTAAACCGGCTTCAGGGGCAACATGGCTGCCCGAGCAAACAAAAAGACACAAAAATATAAGCATTTTTGGCATTAATAAAGATTTTAACAAAAAGTAATCATTTGTTTTATGTTACATTCAATCGTGAGTTCATATTTACGGTCATGTCACTCAAAGAAATGTTTGCAAAAAATCGCGAATATTTGCCAACTAACATCATATCATTACAGACTGCACGATAGTGCCACAACATATTTTCATGTCTGATCAGGGCGATAACCACCATAGACATTTAGGGGGGCTAGTCCCCCCAATAATTAGAAATTGCTAAACCCTTTTCTCAAATATTGCCAAGAGAGAGATGAAAGTTGCGTGTATACGTGTCTGTGCGTTTCTCTTTTTAGAGTGAGTTTACTTAAAAAAAGCACACCAGCACACCAGTATATGTGTGTGTATTGTAGGAGCTAGACGACGTATGATGACGTGTGATGGCATAGTAGTGGTGTCCCAATTCTTAGGGGAATATTTTCACCCCTACCCCTTGACACTCCTTTCAAGGGACAAGGGGAAGGGGTAGGCGGAGGGGTAGGGGAAGGGGAAGGGGTATAAAATAGAATTGGGATTGGGCCTTAATCACTACTTTCAAAAGTGTTTTTAGAAATGAATTATTAATTAATAAATATAATTAATAAATATAATAAGTTTTAGGGGAGTGACGGCACATGACATTTTGCAACTTTTGTTTATTTATTTGTTCATTTATTTTTTGGTTGGACTGTAATATTTTTCAAAAATTAATAAGTAAAGCTGTTTTGTTGAAATTATATTATTTTTGTAATTATTTTTTGTAAGGATTTTTTTTAATGATATCTGCACAGTATCAAAGTGAATTTTAAATTCAGAAATTAAAAACATACTCATCATAGAACAGGTTTATTTAGGTCATTTAATGGATAAGTTACATTTTTGCATTAAGTAAAACATTAAGTTACATTTTCTTTTTGAAGTCAGACATGAAAATGAGCTTTGCGTAATTGCCCTGATACATAATGTTTTTCAGTGACTTTCATCGTTTTATGTGATGTACGCAGATATAAGCAATTGGAGCGGCTGGCAGCAGAGGAAAATGAAAGGGAACGGCCAAGGACGACACGGGGGCGAACAGAAATCACCCTCAGCCTGACTTCACGAACCTCCAGCAGCTCCTTGTCTCGTTCTGCCACCCCTTTGACTGTAGAGGCTCAAGAGGATAAACGTTCTGTCCCACATCCAGCACGAGGTGAGATTCCTCTGGGTACAGTAATATGGTGTGGCATTTCTGGAAAAATCTCTGGTCCTAATTTTTCCTCCAAAGTATGGAATCAAGCTGTTACCACACAAATGTTTTGTCAAGAAAACAATGCAAAGCCACTAGGGAAGTCAGCCATTAGGAAAAACTACATTTATTTGAGGTTTATTGACCTCAAATATTGACCACAATTTCAGAAATTGGGTCAGTGGTCAGTCAGCCTTTCATATACAGCCACATCTGAATCTGAGGGGCTGGAGTTGGTATGAACAGACTGAACGACTGGAGCCTGGTCAATCACTCAGTCTCACTGTGGAGTTTCCGACTAGCTTGAGACACACATATTCACATGAGAATCACACAGCTGGGTACCCAATGTTTCAATCTTCTAAGTTTCATTTTAATTTTAGTCACCTTTTAATCTTAGTTCTAGTTTTTCCATGAGAATTCCCATTCTCAATGGCAGCTCTTAGGAAATGAGTTAAGTATACAATTGAACTGTGTAAAGGGGGAATATTTATTTTCATGTTTTTAAAGTTTTAAAGTAATAGTTCACCCAAAAATTTAAATTCTAACATTATTTACTCACTCTCATGTCATTCTAAACCCATATGACTGTATATCTTCTGTGGAATGCAAAATAATATATTTTAAAGAATGCTTCAGATGTTCTACCAAACAGCATTTGACCCCATGGACTTTTTCACATTCCTTATAGTCATTTTCAAAATTTTCAAACATTTTCAAAATCCTATAGTCATACAGGTTTGCAATGTCATAAGGATCAGTAAAAGATGAAAGAATTTCAGTTTTTGGTGAACTATACCTTTAAAAAAAAAAAAAAAAGAACCGTCCACTTGCAAAAATGTAATTTAATAAAATACGTGAGATATGACTGCCAAATTAAAATGTTTTTATTACAGTTAGGAAATTTTTAAAAAATTATGTATTTTCCATGAATATTTGAGGCAGCGTAACTGAGTGAGTGGTTAAAAGCATTGGTTTGTAACCAGTAGGTTAAAGGTTTAAACCATACAGGATGTGGGCTTTGAGCAAGATACTTATTCCTAGATTACTCTGTGAACAACAACAAAAAACAATGTGGCGGTGTGACAGAATGTTTTCTAGAATAACAGGGTCATATTTGATTATAGTACAAAATCAGAGGAAAAGAAACACTTCCATCAGCCGTGACATAATAATGGAATGGAGTGGCTTGAGGTTGTCCATTCAGTAAGGCACTAGTTATATCACATTCATGTGGTTTCTGAAGGCCAGAGCATTGGTCGCACACTGGTCAGTGAATGAAAGCATGACCAGCAGTGTGTAAAATGATAGCAGTGTGGATCTGACTGTGGTTTCAGAGGTCTGAGCTCCTCCCAGAGTATAAATTGAAAATATGGGACAGATTAACTGGAAAAATAAGAAAAAATACTTATTAAGAATAGGGTTTGTGTGTGTGTGTGTGTGTGTGTGTGTGTGCATGTTTATGTGGTTTATGAGGGCACACATTTGCATAATAACATGGGTATGACATAGGTATACAACGAGAAGGTGATTTATGAGGACATTTTCCCCGTAATTCAAAAGGCTTATAAATAATTCAGAATGAGTTTTTTTGAAAATCTAAAAATGCAGAAAATGCAGTTTCCTGTAAGGGGTAGGTTTAGGGGTAGGGTTGGTGTAGGGCAATAGAAACTACAGTTTGTACAGTATAAAAACCATTACGCCTATGGAGAGTCCCCATAAACCATAAAAACAAATCTGTGTGTGTGTGAGTGTGTGTTATTTCAGCAATATATCAACAGCACACTTCCTTTATCCTTAATATATTTTCATAATTAAAGTGTAATATATTGTATACTCTATACTATCTGTATACTATATCCATAATATTTTTCTATAACAACATTTACAGTTAACAGCGCTCAGTCATTCAGCTTTTATATTTTTCCTGTGTATTCAAATAAAACGTTTGATGGTAGGGTCGTGTGGAATTTTGTTTTGTTATTCCCTATGCTCCTGCAGGATCGCATTTCCTGTATTTATTTGCTTTTCTGAATCTGGAGGAGTAGATGTCTTTAATGTTGTGTAATGTGTAATGTTATGGGGGTTACCGTAACACAGACACAGGGAGAGGGGGATGTGGATGTACAGACTGCACGTGAGGGCTGAGTATGCATGCAAAGTTTGTGCACTCTTCCTTAATCAGGTCTTGTTTTCCAGTAAAAACATCTATCTTTAAAGTAATATTAATTTAGTTGGTAAGCAAAATTTTGTTTACTGAATCACTCACTCAACCAATGTGTTCAAACACACACACACACATCCAAAGTTCTGGCACGAAACTCTAGATGGCGCAGTCCGATAGGTCAAACTCAATCTGACATAATGACATCATTATCAGATGGTGCAGCTGATTGGTTCTTTTTGTATCAGCAGCCAAAGAGTTTGCTGCTTAACATTTAAATACTTGGCTAGTGCTTGCTGTAGCAGTTGCAGCGTGCTTCAGAAACCCTCCACCTTCCGCAGCTCCACCTATATAGATCTGCTACGGGGTGATTCATGTATGCTATATGGGGGTTATTTCTTCTATGTTATATGTACAGTAACAGTATTACTTACATGCTCACAGCAGCATGCTGTGGATATGTTGCCAGTAGCAAGTCTCAGTACTTGCTCTGCCGCAGCAGCAGCAACAGCGTAGCAGATCAATTCCGCCAAGACCAAAAACATTAACATTGTTATTTAAATTACCATGCCAATCCCTCTGAGAGTTGTCATGACAGAAATATATTGATTCTCTGTAGAACAAGAATGGCTCTCCCAATAATAACGCTTTACTTGACTAGCAAGTATCTTCACATAGCTAACACCTACTGGCAATTTAAACATGCAAATGAACCTCCTATATATCCCTCTCAAACTTCCTGTTTCAATAGGAAATATGTCAACACAGGACAGAGAACATTTTGTTGTGGTCTTTATATCAGGACATGGTTAGTATAACTTGTAAGGCCTTTAGCATTGTCATTGGATGGAAGATTCTTCATCACAAGTTTATTTTAAATGGCCTTGTTTCATCATTAGCTACATGGAAGTTGGGCTTCATATCTGGAATGTTTACCAAGCCAATCTTTTCCCCCCCCTCAGGAACTGAGTCTGAAACAAGCCATCCCGTGCAGGCAGCAGTTGCGTGGCCTTCCTCAGAGCCTCCCTCGGCCTCAGTGTATGCGCTGGTCTCGCCCTCCAAACCAGAGGAACAGAGACCTGTGGAACCATCAGACATCACGCTCTCTCTGTCTCCAACAAACTCTGAGCCGGAGAGACCTGAGACAGAGGAGAAAGCAGAGGAAGCTGAAGCCGAAGAGTGTGAAGAACTGGTAGTGAGTGGAATGAAAGATGAAAAGAAAGAAGAAGCAGAGGGAAACTTTGAGGAAGAGACTAATGAAATGGGTACAGAAGAGTGTGTGAGAGAGCAGATATTAGAGAGGGATGTAGACGAGAGTGCCGTCCTGAGTGAGAAAGAGAGGCAAAATGAGGAACTGAATGAGAAAGATAACTGCTCTGCCTCCAGCATCTCCTCAGCCAGCAGCACTCTGGAGAGAGAAGAACGAGAGGAGAAACACATCAGTGACAGTGACTCAGGTGAGAACAACTCATACACAAGTCAAATTCTGTGAGTGAGTGCAACACAGAGGGTCTGACATTCACCACGGGGTTCATAGTGAACATTTATCTCTTCCAAGTATTTCTTATCCACCATGAATTTTATTTTATTTTATTTTATTTTATTTTATTTTTGGTCCAAAAAACATTCTAATGATGTTTTCTACTAACCCTAACCTAACAATACACTAATAATCTACTGAGATGTAGTTAACATGTAGTTGCATATTAATGAGACTTATATGTAGATGTTATATGTTGATATGTAGTTGCAAAGTTACTTTTAGTTGGCAGAATGTCTAAAGTGGACTATTGAAATAAAATGTAAGACATTGGCCAGTGGCCACGACATAATAACTCGTGGGAACGTGATAATATGTTGTGGCCACGGGATATTAATTTGAGGGAACGTCATATTAACATGTGGGAACGTGATATTATGTCGTGACCACGAGATAATTTTGTCGAGGTAACGACATCCTTATTTCGTGGCCTAGAGATCCTATGTTGAGGGAATGACATCCATTTCTCGTTTAATGCGTAAACAAACCTGGGTGACCATAGCAACCCGGGATTATCAAAAATGGATAAAACATTTTTATTAACATTAAACATTGAATTTAATATTTATAAACTTATTAGGGCTATATTTTTATATTTATTGTTATACATGTTTATTTCCCCTTTCAATTTGTGTATCGCTTTACCTAGTTAACGTTTTGTATAATTATACTAGCATTTGCTAGCCTATCATATATTTTGCAAATAAATGCCTGACAATTATGCTAATAAAGTTTTGACTTTATGATTGTATTTATGCCAACGTGTGATGATAATTGAGCGTGTTGTGTTTTCATTTACAAATGAAACTATGTGAATGATTAATTCCTCAACGAAACACTATAGTATTTATAATTATGGTCTATTAATTAGTCGAAATAAAATGAAATATATGTTAAATTTAAACTGCATTCCAGAAAAAAATTCCAGTCAGCAAAATCAAAGCTTTATTGGCATGTTGAGCATTTACAGTAGGATATTATTTACAAAAGTATTCAGAACGTTAAGGAAAGAGATCAAAATGAAGGGAAAAATGAATATAAACTAATATAAAAATATAATCAATAATAATAGGCTAATAATAATAATAATAATAATATACAAATATTACGGGGGAAAAGACAATCAGTTAATGGACTTACAAGACTGTAGGATGGATACAAATGTTTTTATATTTTATATTATGCACTTTATGTAACATTTATTCATGATAAACTTTATTTGAATGCTGACTATCGCACATAATACAGTCCGGTAGCCAAGACCTATGGTTAATATAATAATGTAATAATGTAATAATTTCTATAATAAATAATATAATAATTTCTTAATTCAAAAGAAAATATTAATGAATCCATAATTCCAGGTTGCTATGGTCAAGCAGGTTTGTTTACGCATTAAATTCGTGGCAACGAGAAAAATATGTAGTTCCCTCAACATAAGAAGTCATGGCCACGAGAAATGGATGTCGTTCCCTCAAACTTATTAGGGCTATATTTTTATATTTATTGTTATACATGTTTATTTCCCCTTTCAATTTGTGTATCGCTTTACCTAGTTAACGTTTTGTATAATTATACTAGCATTTGCTAGCCTATCATATATTTTGCAAATAAATGCCTGACAATTATGCTAATAAAGTTTTGACTTTATGATTGTATTTATGCCAACGTGTGATGATAATTGAGCGTGTTGTGTTTTCATTTACAAATGAAACTATGTGAATGATTAATTCCTCAACGAAACACTATAGTATTTATAATTATGGTCTATTAATTAGTCGAAATAAAATGAAATATATGTTAAATTTAAACTGCATTCCAGAAAAAAATTCCAGTCAGCAAAATCAAAGCTTTATTGGCATGTTGAGCATTTACAGTAGGATATTATTTACAAAAGTATTCAGAACGTTAAGGAAAGAGATCAAAATGAAGGGAAAAATGAATATAAACTAATATAAAAATATAACCAATAATAATAGGCTAATAATAATAATAATAATAATATACAAATATTACGGGGGAAAAGACAATCAGTTAATGGACTTACAAGACTGTAGGATGGATACAAATGTTTTTATATTTTATATTATGCACTTTATGTAACATTTATTCATGATAAACTTTATTTGAATGCTGACTATCGCACATAATACAGTCCGGTAGCCAAGACCTATGGTTAATATAATAATGTAATAATGTAATAATTTCTATAATAAATAATATAATAATTTCTTAATTCAAAAGAAAATATTAATGAATCCATAATTCCAGGTTGCTATGGTCAAGCAGGTTTGTTTACGCATTAAATTCGTGGCAACGAGAAAAATATGTAGTTCCCTCAACATAAGAAGTCATGGCCACGAGAAATGGATGTCGTTCCCTCAACATAGCATCTCGAGGCCACGACATAAGGATGTCGTTACTTCGACAAAATGATCTCGTGGCCACGACACAATAATATCACGTTCCCACGAGTTAATATGACGTTCCCTCAAATTAATATCTCGTGGCCACAACATATTATCACGTATTTTTTTGTCGTGGCCACGACAAAACTAAGTGAACCGAACATGTCAGCTCCCAGGCACCGTACAAAAGTGACTGTCCTCGCATTTTTAATTTCGTGCCTTGATATTTTGCAAGGATTATTTCACATATGTGGAAAATGGAGTTCTGGGAGAAAATCATCCTAGATAAACCTATGATGGTCAAAAATTGTTGTAAAAGTTAGAAGAGTCACAGATGTTTTATTTAGTAGACACGTGTCTTTTATTTGAAGCATGCACATCACTTGCATTAGCAAGAATCAGACAGACAGAGTTATTAGAATTGTATTTAAGTGATGCATTATGTTGCAGTTCATAAATTTACCAGCCAACTGGTGTTTTTATTCACATTGGTTTGCCAAGCATCAAATTATATTTTTGTTTTTAAAATAATAATGATGCAAACAATAGTTTCATGGTCAGAAAGAAATATTTATGGCTAGTTTTGTTCCCAGTTTAAGGCTATTTTCCCAGTTTACCCAGCATTGGCAGATAAAATTAAACAAAATATAGTTTCCTAGTATACCTGTCATTGGCAGGTGTGACAAAAAGTTTTGGACAGTGGCTTCACATTTTCATTGTAAGCTAAATCCTTTTAGCAGTGAAAATTCATTCCAGTTTCAGCATTTCTGTTTTTTTCCTTTATCAGTGCCAGATTACAACATAAAATAGACATGTTTTTTAAAAATGGACTCTAAAAATTTTCCATATTGTTGAAACTTGTTCTGAATTTGTACTCTTAGGCCAGTGGGCAGACTGTATGAATACAGCGGATGTGAACGATCAGTGCAACAAAGTTCTTAACAGCAAACGCTTCATGCTGGACATGCTTTATGCTCAAAACAAGAAGGCAGAGGAAGATGAGAAAGAAAAGGAGAGTGAGAAAAAGTGTTCAGGTCAAGATTCCACTGTGACCAGCCTTGCTTGTCGCATCTCCACTCTGGAGGCGCAACGGCAAGCTTGTGACGACAACATGAAGAAACTGGAAGTGGAGCATCTGGATAACCAGGGTAGTGTACGGGCTGTGGCTGAGAAATTTGGAGATTTGGTGAAAGGACTGGTATCGCCTCATGAGGTGGAGCATTCTGCGAAGGAAAAGCAGCAAGCACAGGGAAAACCTGTGCCGGCTCCTTCACCAACACCCCCTAAAAAGGAGTCAGACCACATATGGGACCAGCTGATGGCCACACCACGGGAGCTACGTATCAAAGAGCTGGACTTCACGGACTTGGGAGAGGAGGATGATGTAGACATTTTGGATGTTGGTAATGTGATCGGGTCAAGTGACCTCACGCCACCTCCTCCCCCGCCTCCCTGCTTGCCCAGCCTTCCACCCCCGCCACCTTTATTTGGATGCCCTCCACCTCCCCCTATCCCTGGCATGATGATGCCCCCTCCACCGCCTTTTTTGGCTTCAGTTCATCCCCCACATCTCGGATCTCCTCAGCTTGGTCGAGGAGAGCCCCCACTTTTCCAGAAGAAGAAGAAGACCATCCGGCTGTTTTGGAATGAGGTCAGACCTATAGACTGGCAGTACAGCAACCACAAGAGATGCAGGGAGTCACTGTGGTCCAAACTTGATCCGGTCAAACTGGACACAGCTAAATTGGAAAACCTCTTTGAGACGAAATCCAAGGAGCTCCCAGTTACAAAGGTACTGTTAAATTACCTCTTTTCAGTATCTCTTCCAAATTTTAGTCATCAAGTCTGCTTTTTTGTTGTTTACATCCTCAAGATTATTGGTTTACTTAATATTACACAAGTTTTTTCCTCATCAGTGTCATTATAGTTAGTGGTAGATCCAGAGTTATCCATAAGTATAGACCAGGGTAGGGTTGCACCAGCCATTTGGATGGTCTTACTTAAAATGGGATGTAAAGGTCACACTACGCCATGGTGTCCAATCCTGCTCCTGGAGGGCAACTATCCAGCAGAGTTTAGCTCCAACCCTAATTACACACACCTGAACCAGCTAATCATGGTCTTACTAGGCATACGAAAACTTACGGGCAGGTGTGCTGAGGCAAGTTGGAGCTAAACTCTGCAGGACAGTGGCCCTCCAGGACTGAGTTTGGACACCCCTGCACTATGGTCATAGTAACTACTAGTTAGTGTATGGCTGATGTTTCAGACTTCATCGATTTCTTGCTGGAGTGCCGCTAAGAACTCATTTATTCACATAATTTTATTTCTCTAAAAATGTAAATGAGTTTAAATGTCAATATTAGTGGTTTCCGTCCCATGTTTTATGCAAATGTTTGAATGCCGCATGAAAATACAAGATGAAAACATTAAGAGGTGCATAAAATCTTAAAATGTGCATAAAAACTTACTGTATGCACTTAATTGAGGTAGATAACATTTTTATACAATAAGAAAACATGTGCATAAGCTACGATGTGTAAACACATTAAAGAAATAAATTCCTCAATGCACAACAAAAAAACTTATGTGACTTTGCTTCAGATAATATGATTGGATAACTGGACTAACCAGTAGACCAATCCCATTGCACACCTTCTCAAATGTTGTTTTAGTCATTCTGAAATGCCTGAGCCAAATTTCAAATTTAAATATCTCCCAAAACTGTCCCACACAATTGCATTCTCAAACATCATATACCTGCACGATCTGATGTGCAAGTAATTTATTATGTAGGAAAGCAGAGCTACAGTGGCTTCCCCAGTTGCAGCAATTCCCAATATTATTATTTATAATTTGACCCTGCTTTACAGGAAGTGACGATTTTGTTCTCTTGAACACATGGGACGGAAACTGTTCTTTGCTCATTGATATAGTTTAGTTGCCTTTAACTTTATTATATTAAAGCATTATTTATGGAGGTTTTTTGTAATTGTTTTTAAACAATTTAGAGATCAAAACACCTCAACAAATGAAAAACAATGCCCTCACTGTAAAAATGAATGAATGAATGATGTTTTTCATTAATAAAATATAAACATCAGTGCACAATTTTCCACACCACAGTCTGTCAAGCACATCTTACCAGAAAACATACACTCATTCACATCCTTCTCTTCACTCTCAGAGGCAGAAGTCTCCAAACACATCCTTTCTAATCATCCTACTACTTGTCCGCTTGATCCTATTCCATCTCATCTCCTTCAAGCCATTTCTCCTGTAGTTGTACCTGCACTCACTCACATCATTAACATATCCCTTCACACTGGTGTTTTTCCCTCAACATTTAGACAGGCTCGTATAACCCCACTACTTAAGAAACCCACCCTTAACTCGTCTCTTTTAGAGAACTGCTTCCTTCCCTTCTTCCTTTCATTGCAAAAACACTTGAACGAGCTGTGTTCAACCAAGTCTCTGCCTTTCTCACACAGAACAACCTCCTTGACAGCAACCAGTCTGGTTTCAGAAGTGGACATTCAACCGAAACTGCCTTGCTCTCAGTTGTTGAAGCCCTAAGACTGTCAAGAGCGGATGCCAAATCCTCAATACTTATCTTGCTGGATCTGTCCGCTGCTTTTGACATGGTTAACCACCAGATCCTCCTGTCAACCCTATTGACAAAGGGCATCTCAGGAACCGCACTCCAGTGGTTTGAGTCTTACCTCTCAGATAGGTCCTTCAAGGTATCTTGGAGAGGTGAGGTGTCCAAGTCGCAACATCTAACTACTGGGGTG